CCGGCGGACTATTTACTATGATTGTTACTACTACTACTACTACTACTACTACTACTATTACTACTACTACTACTACTACTACTACTACTACTACTACTACTACTACTACTGCTGCTAGTACTACTACGGCGACTACTACTACTACTGCTACTACTACTACTACTACTACTACTACTATGACTACTACTACCCAAACATAATACGACTACGACTACGATCATTACGATTATTTCTGGGACTGTCATTTTATTGTTACTACTAACATTACTCGTATTATTTGTTCTACTACTATTATTACTACTACTACTACTACTACTACCACTACTACTACCACTACTACTACTACGACTACTACTACTACTGCTACTACTACTACTACTACTACTACTACTATGACTACTACTACCACGACTACTAAGCGATTCACTATCCTACCACTATTAGTAGTACTACTACTACTACTACTACTACTACTACTACTACTACTGCTACTACTGCTACGACTACTACTACTACTACTACTACTACTACTACTACTACTACTACGGCTACGACTACTATTACTACGACGATTACTATTACTACTACTACTACTACTACTACTACCACTACTACTACTACTACTACTACTACTACTACTACTACTACTACTACTACTACTACTACTACTACTACTACTACTACTACTACTACTACTAATAGTACTACTCCGGCTATTATTATTACTACTACTACGACTACGACTACTACTATTACTACTACTACTACTACTACTACTACTACTACTACGAATACTACGAATACTACGAATACTACTACTACTACTACTACTGCTACTACTACTCTTATTACTACTACTACTACTACCACCACCACTACTACTATAACTACTACTACTACTACTACTACTACTACTAAAAGACTACTAACATTACTACTACTACTACTACTACTACTACTACTACTACTATTACTACTACTACTACTACTACTACTACTACTACTACTACTACTACGACTACTACTGCTACTACTGCTACTACTACTACGACTACTACAACTACTTCGAATACTACGACGACGACTACGGCTACGACTACCCCTACTGCTGCCACTACTACTACGGCTACCATTTGTATTATTACCACTACGACTACTGATACGACTACTACTACTACTACTACTACTACTACTACTACTACTACTACTACTACTACTACTCTTACGACTACTACAACTACGAGGATCGCACCTGACCCAAGGCCAGTGAGGTTTGGGCTTGGGTTTGGGTCTAGGTTTGATTGGAATAACACTGTAGTCGGAATCCTAGTGGAACCAGCATCCTGTTGCAATCGACTTCCTAGTGCAATCGGAATGTTATTGTAATCGGAATATTTGTGTAATCGGATTCCTATTGTAATCGGCATCCCATTGTAATCGGAATCCAATTGGAATACGATTGCAATCGGAATTCGATTGGAATCATTTAGGAAACCTATTTGAATCAGAATCTTCTCGGAATCCGATTGTAATCGGAATCGGATTGGAATACAAGTGGGATCTAATTGTAATCGGATGAGAGTTGGAATCCGATTGGAATCCGAGTGTAATCGGAATCTTAGTGGAATCAGAGTGGACTCTAATTTTCCGGATTCCGATTGGAATCTTGGTGCAATCGGAATCATATTGGAATCAGAGTGGGATCATATTGCAATCGGAATCCTATCGGAATCCATGTGGGATCCAAGTATACAAGGAATTGGATTGGAATCACATTGAAATCTTACTAGCATCGGAATCTTGATGGATCTTAGTGTACCCGCCACCCTGCAATTCCTCGCGCCTGGATCCGCCCCCGCCCCCGCCGACACCGGCCCCCTCCATCTCACACCCTCCTCAGGGGGTAAATCGGCCTGTGGGGCCCAGGCCACGCCCATTGGGACAGGGGTTGGTGAAACGATGCTCAGCAGGAGGACTTGACGAGGGATGGTGGCCAGAGAAGCTTGAAGGCAGCAGGGGCGGTCAAGAGTCAAGACTACTCCAGCGCGTAATTATGCATACCACGTCGGGAGGGATCCGAGGCATCCAGGGGTACGGTCGGACCGAGGTATAAGAACGAGGACGGCTCGGGGAGGGTACCCTTGTGTTCTTCGTGTATGTTGGGTGTTCTCGTGCATCCTAGGAGAGGGCACCCTCAAATGTTCTTCAATTTGGGCGGGCGGAGGGTCTCATGCTCTTGAAGGATGTGTTCTGTCCTAGGTCCGGCAGTATCTAGGGCCACCCCGCCACAAGGCGAGGCCATCGTGCGGTCGCGCCTTGCTGGGGACATCGTGATCCACGCCGTATATCGGACTGGCCCGCGCGAGGATCCAGAAGAGACGCTCCGTCTCGGGGAAGGGGACGCGGCCTTGTTCGGCAGCGTCGCCTTGTTTTGTTCCCCACACTGTTGTCCCTGGTCCATGCTATTCGTGAGCCCTGCACCAGGCCACGTTTCCTCTTCTACAAGGAGGGCCAGGAGGTCAATTTTGTGGAGGGCGTCAAGGACTTCGCCCGCATGCCTAGAGGACAACGGCAACGGGGAGGTAAGGTAAGGTAAGGCTCCGCTGAGACCGAGGATCCGACGGTCTGGGGAGAAGTTCGGGTTAACCCCTCAAAACGAGACGTTGGCAACTCCTCGACAGGAGGCAAGGAGGAGGAGGAGGAGGAGGAGGAGGAGGAGGAGGAGGAGGATCAAGGTTGTTTCTATGCTTGGCTCTCCCTGGGCCTCCGAAGGCTTCCGGAGACCTCCAGAGGACCTCTGGGGGCGAAAACGGAGGCCCCGGGGTTGCGTGGCGCTGCTGGTGACGGAGGTTGCAACGAGGAGGGCCTCTGCTCGCATGGAAGGGAGCTTCGAGTTTGTGATTCCTTTCAAGTTCCGGAGAATAATACATACCAGAAACATAAACGTTTGGCGCTCCGCGCGGATTCTATCCGCCCTTGGCGTTTTCCCTTCTTCTCAAGTTGCATGGTCCTGGGGATCGCCGTCGGCGGTCGCCGAAGAGCCCTGGCGCCACCGCGGATTACAGCAGGCATGCGCGATGAGCGTAAGAGACCTAGGGGGCACATGTGTTGTCCGCCTTCGATATTCCTGGGGAAGGTGCCTTGAGACTCCTGCGTGCCCCTGGGGCCTGGGGCCTTCTGGGAATGGGGCATAAGAAATTCTAGACGCTTCGCGTAACCCCATCAGTATTCGCTCCGTGCCGCATCCCGGACGCTGCGTCCGCTCCCTGACCTTTGCCTTGGAGCCGCGAACCAAAAAAGTAACCCCACCAGTAGTCGCTTGGTTCCCCCTTGCACTGTGGGGTGGTCTGACGGGTGTTGGTATCGCCACGGAGTGGTTCAGCCTTCCGCAGCAGCTACAGCACCCCAGGCTCACCATCAGCTTTTTCCAGTTGCGTGGCATCACGGTTTGCGACAGCTCAGCCCCCCTGGCTAGCTCACGTCGTCATGGCGTTTGGAGCCTGGCACCCCACCGGCGACTCACTCCACTGGCCTCCCACTTGCCCCCACTCAGATTGACGGGTTTGGTTATCCTGGTTCACGTCTCATACTGTGGCAGGCACCGAATTCCATGACATTTTGTCTGTGCACGTGCTCGAGCTCTCAGGATACCCCTGCCGTCAGCTCCCCTTCAGCTTCGCGGCTGCTTTGTGAGCGGGCCGGCCGGCCTGTGCCTGTTGTAGCTAATTTGCCTCGTCCGTGCCCCGGACTTTGTTTCTGCCGCCTGACCCTTGTCTCGCGGCCGCGACCAAAAAAATAACCCCACCAGCGTCGTTTTTCGGCGGAGCAGCACAGTTGGCGCTCACACGCCGTTGGCGCGGCTTGGGCTTGGCGCCCCAGTGGCGACGGCCCATCGCTTACCACGTCTGGCCGCCGCAGCGCGTAACACAGAATTCCCTGGCATTTTGCGGCAGGGTTGCACGTTGCTCGAGTTTCCCTGGGCGTTCCAGTTCAGCCAGCCAGCCCCCCGCAGCCGCTGCCCCAGTTGCCGCGTCTGTGAGCTGGCCCGGCGGGCTCGTGCTGCGCTCAGTAGCTAATTAGGTTTGCCCGCTGGCCCGGACAACTTCTCTCGCCGCTTGCGCGCTCGCTGGTGGCCGCGACCAAAAACATGTAAGCCCACCAGCCCATCCAGAAACGATGCCCTGAGGAATTGCCTCGACCAGGGAAGTGGGCAGCACACATAGGAAGGGTCCCCCAGTGGAGGCCTCTTGGAGCGTCTTGGGTGCCTCGGAGAGTTTCTTGGGGCCTCTTGGGGGTCTCTGGGGAGCACCTTGGAGGCATCTTGGGCGCCTGTTGGGGCCTCCTGGGCGCCTCTTGGGGCTCTCTTGAAGCGCTATTGGCAGCCTTGGGAGCGCTATTGGGGCCATATTGGAAGACATCGATCAAAAAGGAAGCGAGCATTATTCAGCACTGCCCCTCGGCAGCCCAAAAATCGGCTCTTGGGGCGCTTTTGGGGCGGTCTTGGGGCGTTCTTAGGCGTTTGGGGCTCTCTCGAGCCTCTCTTGGAGCCCTCTTGGGCCATCTTGGAGCCATCTTGAGGCCTCGGACGGCCATTGGAAACGAAAGGGCGAGAAAGCCAAACACATAGATGTTCCTAAGGTGTTGGCCTCTTCGGGGCCTCCTGGGGGAGCTCTTTGGCCACTTGGAGCCGTCTTGGAGCGGTTTTGGGGCATCTTGGAGCATCGTGGGAGCTATTACGAGACATCTTGGGATACCTCGAGCCATCTTGGAGGTCATCTTGGGCTCCCGCAGGCGCTCTTGGAGTCATCTTAATCAGTGCCCCCCCAAATGGCTAAATCCTGAATCAATGATTTGGCATTCTCGCCGAGGCCTCTTGTAGCATTTGGGGTGCCTCTGGGGGGTCTTTGGGGGCCTCTTGGGGGTCTTTGGGGAGCCTCTTCGGGGCATCCTGGGGGCCTCTTGGGGCTTCCTGGCCACGTCTTGGGGCCCTCTTGGGGCACCATTGGGCGACTTGGGGGCCATTCTTGGGCCATCTTGGGCGAGATCGATCACAGGAAGGGGGGTCCCCAATTAGGCCCCCCCCTCAGGTCCGTAGCCATTTTGGCTCAAGGCGAGGTCGGCGTTTTGATGTGTAACCCTTGCTTTGCCTGCTTGTCCTTCGTGTTACCATGGGCTGTCGTGCCTCAACTGAAGAAGTTTCAGGGGCACAGCCAGCACCGGACACGGTGACAATACAAGCTTCTGTGAAGTGGGACGATGGATGGCAAGACCTTGCAAAAGCGCCCAACGCTCTTTTTATTGACACCCGCACTCCAGAATAATTTTCCCAGAAAAGCATCACTGGCTCTGTGAACCTACCCGTGCGGATGGCAGATGATCCTGTTGTGGAGCTTTCAACTGCGAAAGCGAAGCAGTTGCTGGGCGAAGACATGAACCGGCCGATCCTGGTGTGGTGCGCGGTGGGTGGGCGAAGCCATCGGGCCGCGGAAGGCTTGAGGTCTCTGGGTTTTACGAACGTGAAAAATGGTGGCGGGATCGACGAGGTGAAGATGTTGTTGGAGGGAGGTTCGAAGTAACAGAAGAGGTGATGGTGGCTCGGAGTGTTGACAAGTTACTTGCACAATCCCACGATTGAAAGTTGGTGAACTATCTGGCACTGTGTCAGCTTCCTTGGTGTTACTTGATTTGTTTACGAGTTAATCCGAGTGTGAGGAAGATTCGCGATTGAACCGCGGGTAAATATCAGCCGATTGATCAAAGTCAACGCCCGCTGTTCCTCTCGCGCCCTTGCCCTCAATTTGCATGCTTACCTTCAGTGGTAACGGGCCTCTTGTGACGAGCATCAGGAGTCCCTGTGGACAATTTGGGGCAAGTCGTCGAAGTGGTCTGCCCGATTTTCGAAGCGCTTGAGTGTATCGGTTTGGCCAACTTCGCAGTCAGTTTCCAAGACAGTTTTCCGGACTGGGGTGGCGACGTGCATCTCGGGCAGCATCTCCACGGAGCATCGATCCAGAAAAAAAAAAAAACATTAGGCCCCCCCCTCAGGAGGCCCAAATGGGGCCAAAACCGTCGTACAACCAATGATGTTGGCTTCCTCGCCGAGGCCGTGTTGGACGCTCCAACGCGTCGCGAAACCCCCCGTCCAGGTCCAGGGGAGGGGGGGGAGGGGTCAAGACTCCCGCCCCGCTCGCAAGCCGTCTCGCTCACTCGTAGCACCCGATTCTGGCCCGAGCCTCAGCACATTCAGCAGTCGTCTTTGGATGGGCAGATACTGGGGGCCAATCCGCCGCCGCCGCCGCCGCCGCCTCCGCACCGCCGCCGTCGCCGTCGCGCCGCCCGCCGCCGCCGCCGCAGCCGCCGCAGCAGCCGCCGCAGCCGCCAAGTGTACTCTGTATTATTTGTTGACAGGGATGGTGGGGTGAGGCCGCATCGTGTTGACTGCGCATGCTCCGAATGTGGAGGCAGAGTATGTTTTGCACTGTGTGTTTACAAGGGATGGTGTGGGGGGCCCTCATGGTTCTTGGTTGGCTACCAATAGTCTGGGGGAGGGGGTGTCCACTAATAGGGAACAGTGATAAACCCTTCCCCGAAAGGGAAGTAGGAGGGGTGGCAGAGGAAACACTCAAGACCACCTACGCCCAAAGGGCTGGTGGGATTGTATGGGGCACCCGCTGGCAGGCTGGCTGGTTGTTGGATGTGACTGGTGTGGCCACGCAAACGGTGTCCCCCGATCGGGGGGTGGTCGGCCGTCATCACCCGCGGTCGTCGACTAAACACGTCGCCGTCGCCGACTTAGCCACGCCACCGTCGTTGACTAGTCCAAACGCCTTCGCAGACAAGCCCCGTCGCCGTCGCCGAGTAGCGTGATTCGCAGCCGACAGCCAAGAGATCGGTCGGCCGTTGGCCGTCGCCAGTCTGCTCCCGATGTTGCTTCTTCGTTTGCTCCCACGGGGCTCCGCATGCTTCCGTCTGGTTCCGCTTGCCCGGGCGGTTTTCGTATGTTTCCGTTCGCCGTCACACGATGCCAGTGATTCCCCCGTTGGCACAGTAATGCCAAGGTTGTTTGTTTCCACGTGGGTAGGCAGACATGTCAGACATGTGTTCACACATCCTATACCGTCAAGACGCTGAAACATGAGGACAACGAACGTTAGGCTCAGGAGGGGCGCTGGTGTTCGGGCCGCCCCTTAGATCCAGGTCGGGCGACCTGTTCGTGGCCAAGGCTCTGCGTGGCCAGAAGAGACCCTTTTCGTTCCTTCTTCAGCGTCCCCCACGCAAGGCAAGGTTCCAGACTACGAAGGGCCACCGAAGACAGTTTTGGCGGCTGGCTGGGAGCGCGAGTGAGAGGTGGCTACAGCAATGGTGCCAGGCAGCAGGAATTTGGATTCCTTGGGCTGCTTGCTGTCTTCGCCCTCCTCCCTACCTCTCTCGATTCTTTGCACGTTGTGCTGCACGAGTGCTCCACGCGCTGGCGCCGCCTTGTCGTCGCGCTGCCCCTCGGAGATGGGGGGAGCGTCGTCGTCAGCGCCATCGCCGTCGACGTCGTCGTCGTCGTGAGACCGCGGGGTGCAGCCATGCGCTCGTGTGCTGAATAGTGAGCGGTAGGAAGCGGTGGTGGTCAAGACGAAAATCACACCCCGGCCTCCCAAAGTGGCGCTTACTTTGGATGGCCCTGAGCGTCGTCTGGACAGTCCTGCCTTGATCGACTCCTTCTCTGGGGCACGTCTGCTGAAAGGCTTCGCTTGGAGGGGTGTCTCCTCTGGAAGTGGTTCTCCTGCCCTCGGGATGGGTCGGACAGCCGTCCCGAGCGGAGGCGGGAGAAATTGGAGAGATACACGGTGGGGAACTGCGGCCTACTCCAGATTTCAGAATGAAAGGTGGGGGTCGCCACCATCCCAGAAGAAAAATGTTAGACCCCCCAGACCCCCAGAATCCTTCAAGACAGCCCAAATCAGATCTCCCTCCCAAATCGGACCACCCTCCCTTTTATTGTGAAATCCGGGGTAGCGTGTCTCTCCGCTGGCTCTTGCCCACCACGCTTCTACGCGACACTCTATCCACGTCCCAGTCTCCGAGCGTCAACATCCCTATCGTTTCCCAGCCTCCCGTCCCGCGGAGCGGAACGACGAGCTATCAGTTTGCAGTGCACGGCGTGTCGTCGGGGCCGCTGCGGCGACACCGTAAGTCAAAGTTCCCCACAGTAGCCGTCAAAGTTCCCCACAGTAGCCCAAGGTGGGGTCAGGAAGCGAGCCCAGCTCGAAGCTGATGTTTCCCTCATCTGGCCGTACCCCGCCGTCTTACGCCGAGATGAGCAGCAGCTGAAAGACAAGAGGAGCGGCGAAGCGACCGGGGTGGCAGAAGGACAATGGAGGCAGAAAGCGAAGGGGCAGTGGAGGAGAAGCATGGAGCGTAGGATGATGGAGAAGGAAAGGAGTCTTGGGATAAACAGCCTCAACAACAGCAACATGAGTAGGATGAGCCGTGGGGCTGGGCAACTGTGTGAGGTACGCAGAGCGCGGTACGGATGGGGATGCAGACGAGGTGACTAGATAGTTAGAGGTACTCTTGGAAGTGACCTCCTGTCTTGGCACTCTAGACTGTTGTCTACGCTATTCCGCATATGATGGTCACCATTACGGCTATCGTCGCAAAATTCCGCCCGTGAAGAACCATGAATATGCAACAGGGCATAGATCATTCCTCAATCACAGATCACAGGCGATCTTCGTGCATGCGCAAGTTCAAGCGCGATTAGTCCTCACGCGGCAATGGGTATATCATCCTGGTGTTGCCCGCAGTGTTTGATAATTTCTTTCGCGGCGCTCTTGCACTGACTAAATCGTCAAACAAGCCCTACGCTGCACGATGAAGGACGCCGATGCTTCATCCATGACACCGCCATGTCGAGTGACGCCGCTGTGGGGGGGAACGAGAGCGTCACGACAAGCAAGGGCGCACGCTGCACGCCCCTGCCGGGAGAGGGCCCGCGCTGGTCAGATAGGGACGCGCAGGCACCAGAGATCCTCGAGATTATTGAGAAGAATCTGCCACCGCTGGAGGTCGACGACTGAGGCTTCTAATAGAGAGGTGCGGTCGCCACTGGCAGCGCGGGTGCGAGCGGCCCTCGCAAGACGCCATCCTGTGGAGCAGGCGGCGCAGCGCAAGCGCGTGGCATCCCCTCGGCTGGGAGGGCGGGGCGGAGGGAATCCGGTCGCCACGAAGGCAAGGGGCCCCGAGGGAGACGGGTCCGGTAGATTGTCTTCGGACGGGGCCAGGACGAGGATGAATCCGTTCCAGAGCGGTCCCTGAACGCTCTGAGAAGGCCGCGGCGTCCAAGACATCCTCCAGAGCCGCTGGATCTCAGAGAGTCTCGATTCATCCTCACCCGAAGTTATCCTCGTCCTGGCTTCGTCTTATGTCTGATGCTTTTTGGCCCCACGGGGGCCCAGCAAAGGATGGCGCAGGAGGAAGGATGTTGGCCTCCGGGCCAGGCGTCCGAGCCCTGACGAGGTCTTGGCACGATCGAAGAAGTGACGGACAGAAAGTGGGGACGAAGACCAGCACGGTCGGACCAAGGTCTGAGATCGAGGTCTACCTTCGAGTGTTCCTCGGTTTGGCCGGCGGAGGGTCTCATGTCCTTGATGGGTGTTCTTCTGTCTTAGGTCCGACCGTAGCAGTCCTTTGGTCATTGCGGACGGGGCTCGCTGGCGGTGTCGGCAAGGGCGTTCAATTCGGGACAAGCGTCACCTGCCCATCGGCGGCCGCTGTCGGTTCTGGACAGCATGCGTTGCTGGTGTCGTCGCCATGTTTGTCCGCCCCCGTCCCAGACGTGCCAAAGAGCATGAGAACACGCGGCGCCATTGGTTGGCAAGAGATTGGGTCGAAGGCCACGCTCAGATCCGTTCTGAAGCTCCGGCCTCTTGGGCTTCACCGGGGGAGGGTTGAGCTCGTCGGCGTGGCATGTCGTAGGGATGCCTGGGGATGGAGAGCGAAGTAGGGAGCGACTGATCAGTTTGCGCGGGGTCTTTGTTTCCAGCCGTGGACTTCCCCAAACTCCTCCCCCAGACGTTCCCCGTCTTTGCGCAGCGAAGACCTTTTGTATCAACCGACCATGAGCGACTCTTGCATCCGAGCGTCATGATGTAGGCACGGCAGTGCCTCTTTTCGCAAAAGACAGCACAGCATAAACATGAACTTTTGGAGTTACACGGGGATTTCTTGGATCGACGCTGGGTCCCCTGGCGGCGCCTCCAGCGACGCTCCTGGCGCACTCTGCGCGCCAGGGAGGGGGGTCCAGCGCCTGCCCAAGAAATCCAGGCGGACCTCCGACAGTGTTTCTGCATGCTGTTTTCTTCGTCTGTTTCTCGTTCGTCTTGTCATTTTGCTTAATGGTATTGTTAGTTTGTCTTTTGCCCCAGTTCGGGATCGTGTGCCCCTGCAGACCCGCCTGGCTCGGGAAGCCTCGCACTGAGACGTGTTGAGAGGTCTGGTCGCGAGTGCTCCTCTCGGCGACGTGGATTTCTCACGGTGTCGGGTCGGGTGCCAGGGTGCCGAAGAAGGAAGGCAGGCAAGGAGAGGCAAGGGCAGCAGATGGGAGGGTATGTTGAGGACGGAGAGGGATCGAGGCTTCCCAAGTGGGGTCCGAGTAGATGGGGTCGCAGCATCGCGCAGCATCGCGGATGCATTGGCGATGCGGCTCGATGTGGAGCCCGACTTTCTCCACACCAACGGCGCCGATGCATCGCCTACGTTGCCGATGCACCGCCAATGCATCGCCGATGTCTCGCCGATGCGGCGCGACCCTCCGACCCCATCTATCCAGACCCCACTTGGGAGGCCTCCAAGGGAGGAGGGGGAGCGGGAGAAAGTCTGAGAGAGTGCGTACACCGAGAGCGGAGGGCAGATAGATAAACAAAGACAGAGAGAGGGAGAGCAATACCAGAGTGAGGGGGCCGAACGGTCATCCACTGTTCCTGGGCGCGTGGCTGAAGTAGGGTTCCGCGGTGCGGATTGTTGTTGCATTGTTGCGTGCCTTCGCTGTTGAGTTCTCATTTCCCAGAGGTGATTATTATGTATCCCCCCGCTGGTGCACCTTGTGATGTTTTGAATTAGTGTGCTCCTCCTGGGGCCCGCGCCCTGTTTCTACTAGGGAATGTTTTGAGGCTCAGACCAGCCCCCTGGTCCCCGAACTACAAACAACAACAGCAGCAGCAGCAACAACAATCACAATCAGTTTAAGACTGTTCGTGATTATCTGCTCGCGTGTCACTCAACATGCATATCCCAAACCCTCGACACCCACCCTCTTCGTCTCCGATCATACCTTCCTTGGGGGCACATCTTCCTCACTTGCCACGCGTAGTTGGCGCCGCCCCTAAAACAGGAGAAGGGAGGAGGGAAAGGACAACGGGGAGAGACAAGGATTGAGCACGACAGGGACTAGCAGAAAGGGGCTTAGGAGCAGAAAAACAAGCGGCAGAACCAGGCGGGCGGGTCGGGCGGGTGAACTCAACGGGTGGGTCGGGCGGGCGGGCCCAGACGGCGGGGTCGAGCGGGCGAGTCGCTGAAACATCAATCCAACGTGAATCGCGATGAAGTTTCGAGCGATAGCGCGATTCCCAATTCAATCGCGAGGACGTCCAGAGCGAGAGCGTGATTCTTGAGTGTCGAAGGCGCGGCATCTGAATACATTGCGAGAAATTACAGCGCGAGAGCGCGCTTGGATAAAGTGTAAGGAAGCCCGCGCGATTATACTTCTCTTGGTAATTTGTAAACTGTAAATTGTAAGGATACTCCCCAATCAGTGCTTGCACTGAAGGGGTCCTAGCGGATATTGAAAGATTTTGCGAACGTTTCCCGCCGATTTTGGTGGCCGGCTGGGTTCCCGGGTTCCCGGTTCAGGGTTCCCGGATTCTTGATTATTGGTTCCGGGCCGATTTCGGTGGGCTCCGAGATCCCAGGTTCCGGGTCGATTTCCTTATCGATCAAACCATCCACTAATTGGTGTTATTCTCTGGCGTAATCTTTCTTACCCGCCACGCGCATTTAGTGCAGGCCATAAAACAAAGGAGTAGAGGACGGATGGAAGGGGGAGGGAGATGGATGGAGCACAAGAGAAATTTGCAGGAGGGGGACTAGGAGCAAAAAGCACGTGGCAGAACCAGACGGGCATATCGGGCGGGCAGCCCCTAGCGGGCGGGTCGGGATGGCAGGCCCAGGCGGCCAGGTCGAGCAGGCGGGTTGCTGAAGCGTGGGTCTTGCATGGATCGCGAGGAAGTGTGTAGCGATAGAGCGATTCCCGGATATATTGTAAGGAAGTCCAGGGCGAGAGCGTGATTCCTGAGTGTTGGGGCGCGGTGTTTGAATGAATTGCGAGGAAGTTCCACGCTAGAGCGCGATTCCTGCAGAAGTGGTTTGGAAGTCCTTCGCGAGAGCGCGATTCTGACAGGCATTATGGCGATGCACCAGGCAGGAGCCGTTATTGTGGCAATTCGGGGGCCGGGGGCGCCGTCGGAGTTTCAAGATTTCCCACTTCGAGTAGAAAAGAGAACAACGAAAAACATGGTGCGAGCCCCGCGAGGGGCATTCCAATTGAAAATCGCGATGGGCAGTTCGCAGGGGGGTCCGTTATCATTGCTTTTCCGAAATAGCAATGCAACAACAACGACAACAACAACACCAATGACAACAACAATCATTCCCAACCCTCCTGCGTTGGGCTCTCGTCTTGAATACAGCACTGCGGTCTCTACCCTCCTTCTGCTCCTCCTTCCCGCCTCCCTTTACCTCTCCTCCCCTGTGTGCTTGATGGCTTGCCTGTGGGGCCTGCGAAGTGTGAAGCAGACACGCCTTGGAAGCTGCCGTCTGCGAAGCTGTCGCCACTTTCGAGGGCTGCTGGGAAAGGGGGGGGCAGCATAGTGGGTGCCCGCCGCGGATTCAGATTAGACCTCGCCATCCCTGGGGGGCGCCACTTTCGAGGGCTGCTGGGGGGAGCAGCATAGTGGGCACCCGCCGCGGATCCATGGGGAGCCGCGATCTGCGAACGCGTCGCCCCTTTCGAGGGGTTGCTGGGGGGGCCAGCATAGGTAGTGGGTGCCCGCCGCGGATTCAGATTAGACCTCGCCATCCCCAGGGGGCTGCGATCTGCGACATTGTCGCCACTTTCGAGGGCTGCTGGGGGGGGGGCCAGCATAGTGGGCAACCGCCGCGGATGTATACTAGACCTCGCCATCCCCAGGAAGCTGCGATCTTTGATATTGTCGCCACGTTCGAGGGCTGCCGGGGGGGGGCAGCATAGTGAGCACCCGCCGCGGATCCATATTAGACCTCGCTACCCCTGGGGGGCTGCGATCTGCGAAACTGCCGCCGCTTTCGAGGGCTGTCGGGGGTGGGCAGCATAGTGGGCACTCGCCGCCGTTTCATATTAGACCTCGCTACCACTGGGGGGCTGCGATTTGCGAAACTGCCGCCGCTTTCGAAAGCTGCTGGGGGGGCAGCATAGTGGGTACCCGCCGCAGGTTCAGATTAGACCTCGCCATCCCTGGGGGGGCTGCGATCTGCGATTTTGTCGCCACTTTCGAGGGCTGTTGGGGGAGCAGCATAGTAATTAGGCACCCGCCGCAGACTCAGATTAGACCTCGCCATCCCTGGGGGGGTGCGATATGCGAAGCCGTCGCCACGTTCGAGGGCTGCTGGGGGGGGAGGCAGCATAGTGGGCACTCGCCGCAGATTCAGATGAGACTTCGCCACCTCTGGGGGGCTGCGATCTGCGAAACCCACCACTGTCGAGGGCTGCTTGGGAGGGAACATAGTGGGTACTCGCCGCAAGCTCAGATTAGACCTCTCCATCCCTGGGGGGCTGCGATCTGTGACACTGAGGGCTGCTGGGGGGGCAGCATTCTGGGCACTCGCCGCAGGTTCAGATTAGACCTCGCCATCCCTGGGGGGCTGCGATCTGTGAAACTGTCGCCACGTTCGAGGGTCGCTGGGGGGGCCAGCATAGTGGGTACCCGCCGCAGACTCAGATTAGACCTCGCTTTCCCTGGGGCGCTGCGATCTGCAAAATTTCCGC